GTTAGCTAAACTTATAAACGAAGCCCACTAAACAGTACAAACTTGGTTCACAATCTTCGAAAAAGCAATAACTAAACATGTAATAAATGAAAAGAAAAGATTAATTAATTAGGAAAATATTAAAAAATCAATGCAATATTGAAAAACATAAAATACATGAAATCTTGAAAGTACATATAACAACAATAGCTCAAATATCAAGAACTTCGTAAATTATTCAGAATCAATTAACATTGAAAAATAGAAATCGAAATAATCAATCACAGAATATTTCTTCGTCTTAAACTTCCATTCATCATCTTTAATTATGCAGAAACTATTGTCTGCCAAAAGCCAAGTGCTTTACGCTCTTAACAATTTTCAGAATCTCTCTTTTTTAACCGCCTTATGTCACGTGCAGTGTCTTCATAGAAGAATCATAAATTTTTCATGAGAAAATAATAACCACCGAGAGCTCCTTTCCATTCGATTAAAAGAAGCAACTCCGGTTATGTTACAGCCATAAATCGTTCGTGTCCATCAGATTTATCAATATATATCACGCAACAGGCAACCAGAACTTTTCACGAACAGCTTATTATCGAACTTTCCCGGCAAGCTTATTACCAATATTAAATATCGTAAAATTCTTAACCCCTGTGGAATGTTCGCGTCAGCGTTGAATTAGTATCCGCAACATAACGTTCGGCTTCTTCTTTCGTAATAAGAAATTTTATTAATCGTGACGCGGTTAAACTTTCGTCTAAGTGCTTTTATTTTAATAAATATTCCGTCAAATTTTCCTCGTTTAACTCTTGAACAGAGGAGCCTGAGTCAATCGTGATTCAAACTAAATTAAATCAACATTGTGGCTCTCTCCATGGTCCGCCGTTCGAGAATTAACCCTTTCGCTATAGTTGCCTTACAAACAAAATAATTTCATTCGCAATTAAAAATTTGTTAGCGTAGATACTTTTGCATAGTCAAATTCTGCACGAAACAAGGTGAACGTTACAAATAATTTATGAACCGATTGAACTGTAACGACGATATTAAGAAAGGAGAGGTCTTAATGTCCCGACGTTCTGATATTTCGGTATCGGTATCCGATAGAAATACAAAATCAATAGACCGGTCTAGCAAAGCGTCTGGACGCTTCTGGTATTCGAAATTTAGTACAGAAATTTCATTTCTGCTCGATCGTTTGCTAACATTGCTCTTGTATCAAAATTCAAACGACTTTATTAAGAAATTAAAGTAAAATCATCTCTGTCAAAAATAAATCCCGTCTTGTCGTTATCTTTTATCTTAAATAATCAAGAAATGTATTATATTTCAAAATGTTGCAATTGTACCACGGTATCAGTTATTTTTCCACTTGACGCCTTTTCAGGAGTACAACAACCCTTTTACAAACTCGAACCGTTTGAAATCAATTTCTTCCCCAAAGCGCGCGGAAACAAAGGCGAATCGCGTCGAGGATCGACGACGAATTAATACGGCCTTAATATTACAATATAGAAACATTCGCCACTTGAGAGGTTCAAGTACAAGAATTTCATCTTTTGCCGGGCTGGTTGCTGACAACCGAACGTTTATTCCTCGCCTTTATTCTCCCGGTAATACCGCCGCCATCAATTTACTTTGCTCTCGGCCACTCGGCAGACTGCTTGTCCCACGGCGATTGTCACTTCTACTTATAAATACTTTCCGATCCTATTACCGTTGTTATGAGACAAATAGGTCAAGCTTGTCTCCTCTAAGATCCCAACGGCTCGACTTCGAGCTTATCTTTGCCCTCCTGGAGTTCCTCTTCTACGACCCCTCCGACCCTCGGTAACCATCCCTTCGGCGAACGTTGCCATTTAACTAAAAACTGTTGCCTCTTATTTCATTACCAAGAAGGATTTCTTACTTCGTCTCGTTCCCCTTCGCCTCCGCGTCATCCGGCCCCCGATATTTCATCCCTTGTGCTTTGGACGCGACGGCGCGACGCGACGCGGAAAAACAGATTAAAAAGCAGCCGAGCGAGTGCCGGACAACATCCAGCTAATTATTGTAATTTCATGCCTTTGCAATCGGATCTACCAGCGGCTGCTACTAATTGGACCCGAACGACTACGAGTTACTCGTCGACGGCAGCTTTTGAACGGATAATTTCGCCCGAGAGGAGGAGAAACGTAGCCGAGATTTATTCCGTCCTGTTTTTATTCAAAGACCGAGCCCGATAATTGACATGGGAAAGGTTCGCGTTTCTTCGCGATGTGACGTCCTACCGTGCGAGATACCGAGAAAGTTTAATGGCTCAACGGATTTACAATAGTTCGTTGGAAGATAATACTCGGTGGATAATTAGTGACAGGGTACGTTTCCTTTGTATCTGACTAAATGGTCCATGAGTATTTTAGGAAAGAAAAGATGACGTAAAAGTATCATAAAATAATACTTATTCTATATGGATAAAATTACCATACGAAGCATTCATTGATGTTCTTAATATAAAATAGCTGGTAATCAATTATAACAAACAATGATCGATTTCAATTTGAAGATTAAAATTTAATAAAAATAATGACACGATCTCATCAATATTCTTCAGAAATCAATCAATTCTCAGTTTAGTATTGTTTATTAATAAATTTTTAATTTCCAATCAAGAATCAGTCATTAATGAAATCTTTATACAATCATTTTGATAAATCTTTGAACTTTAAATTAATATACCAATCAAAATTAAATTCATCACTAATGATTGCCAATAATTGAATTATCTATTTCACATTACCACAGTGTTTTTCTACGAATTCGGGTTAATACGATAAGACTGGTAGTTAAAATGAAGTATCATATTTGATCGATGAAGAGAACAGAGCGAAGGGTGGTTAGGTCTAATCGAGTACCGTTTAATATCGCAGGAAATGTGAGGCATTTGATATTACGGGCATCGTGCAGACACGGCTCGTTTATTCTCTATCAAATTACCCTTGCACGCTGCGCCACGAAAATGAAACATGAAATTCTATGTGTAACTGCGCAAAGTACAAAGCATCTGTACTGCGACGACGCGACGCTCTGCGTCTTCCAGCAAGCACGTAACAAGAAATGGAATGTTCACGTTCTTACGAATAAATCTCAACTACGATATTAACACGTTTCCCCACCACAGTTCATTCTCTAAATAATTCATTGGAAACTAGGCATAAATTACGCAATTATAGATCAATTAATTTTCCCTTAAAAGCAGGTATAAATTATGAAACAATAAGACAATTAATTCCCTTTTTAATTTCAAATATTTTAGACTTAAGAATTTCAGAAAATTAATATTCAATTATTTGATCTATTTTTGGGATATTTGGATTTTAATAAATTTTTTATATATCTTGCCGGATTTAGTGCTAGCTTATTTTCTTATAATGCGTATAAGCATCTTGTACAAAGCAAGTAATGAAAAAAAAAAATATAAGAAAAAAAGTCCTTGATATTTTCACCTGTCCTGTATCACCAGGTAAACTGTCCTCTCCCCATTGAAAATAAAAGTTCGCCTACGTGCTTGCTTTTCCAAGTAGAAGCGCCTACCGGTTAAATCCCCTGCTACGTTTTCCGTGCGATCACTAAGCTGTTTGTGCTTTGTAATTAATTACGAGATTAATTATTTAATGCAATGTTTACAGGCTGCGTTGCGTATTGGAAACGTGATCTTTCATCTCGAACGTATCGTAATTTCGTGAGTTCGTTAAAATATAAACAACGGTCCACGTAAAATTTGCTCTTCCAAAAGTGACCCGGTAACTATTTAAAGGGGGTTAAGAATAGTTTCTACATTTTTATAAAAAGATAAAATGAAGGAGTTTGGAAATAGATGTTTTTAGCAAGTAAAGTTCTATGAGTAAAGTTAAGCAGTTTATCTCTTTGCAAGATCCGTACAATCTATAATTTGCATAGTGATAGCAAACTTTTGGCCGACAGTGTATATCTCGTTGCTAATGCAGCGTTTTATCTAGCTAGAATGCAGTTTTCCTGGAGGCTTGTGTACCAGAGCATCCAGTGTAATGAGGATGACGTTAACATTTAGTTACCAAGCGTATAAATTACAGGCTTTGTGCAACTTCTGTCTTGAATAAATGGTGCTCAAAACCGTATCAATTTTCATAAAAAAATGTCCAATTAAACACGTTCTAATAACAGAATACAATTAACCCAGAAAATTTAATCATGCTCAATTGCGAGAGAAATTTATTACATTATTATTACACGTATAAAATTAGCAAATAATTGAAACGTTAATATTATAATCGTGAATATTATTCAGTAGATTTTATGAAAAACAAGGTAATGGGTTCGAGGGTGTATAATAACGGGAGAAAAAGGGTGATATCATCTTCTTGATACATATTCGAAATGTCCAGGACCTCGAGTATCGAATAATATACAATACGACAGCGTTTAGTATCAAAATAATTTAATAGTAGCATTAAACATGAAATATAATACGCGAACACCTGAACGTTACTCCCTTTTCGAAACAACGTATCGTTCTATCGATCCTACCCTATTGTATTTCAGGCTTGAGCGAAGTTTTATTTGAAATTAAATTAAAACAACAATTTGAAATACTGAATCATTTCCAGCTATTTCAAATAACTATCCAAAAGGAACTTTATTTTTATCAGAATAATTTTAGTTAATTCTGTACCTAGTGTACTTAATAATTTATAAAAATTCTCAATAAAATAAAGTTTTCTCTTAAATAAACCTCTTCAATAAGGAAGTAACAACGTTTCACAAAGTGATGGGGTATATTTTAACCCACCCCATAGTCAGAGGGTTAATTAAGCAAACAGATCGATTTTTTAGAGCCCCACTGTACGAAATTTGCCCCATTTCATCTTCTCCTGTTCCATTATTCTTTATCAACTGTGTTTTGCTTCCAATTAGCAAAACAAGTGTCATATGGCTTAATTGCAGTAAGGAAGATATGGAAATTGCAGTTTTTCACGTGAACGGTGTATCTGTTTCAGGCGGTGCTTTTCCACCGGAATTTGCTGGTCCTATCAAGAATCTAACGGTGCCACTCGGAAGGGACGCAACTTTTACGTGTCTGGTCAAACATTTGGGGGGTTATAGGGTAAGTTTCCACCATGAAAATTCATCGACCGAGTGACGTACGAATTTCTTGCCACACATGGCTGATGCATGCATTATCTCATACAAATTTTTCTATTCGCTTTAAATTTAATTTTACTTCGTAAAAATTGGCTACCCTCTTCCTCTTCGATATTTTAATATTCTCTGGCAATTGTATCAGACACCAAACAGAATGTAACAACGTTAAATACGTGTTACGATTCGCAATGGGGAAGAAAGTGGAACGAGTACTCCAACTTGCGGCTGAATAGGGTCACGTTTTAAATTGAAGATAAAAGAGTTGTTCAAAACTAAGTAATCGACAAAAGTTGCTGGTATTTATTTTTTTAAACAGAAAAGAGAGCAGCCCTATACCTTTACAATCTTAATTAATATATATAAAATTCAATTATAAAGTTTTTTTTCATGATTACTTAATTAATTCTGCAGTAATAATTAATTAAAGATAGTTTTGTACCACTAAACAAAAAATATTTTCTTATTATTTTTTAAGTAGTTATATTAATTTCCATCTAATTTTGTACTCTTTATCAATAAACACTGTAAGTTCCTAAAGCCTTAGATTCTATTCTTTTTCTTCCTTATCACCCTATATACTTCTAACTTCCCAAGCACTCTTTCTGATTCGATAATCTTTCTACCTTATCCCCATGTTTGAGCCTAAAAATAGAACCATTTCTCTTATCGTGTTAGATTTCATATCCACAACCATATCGACAATTTCATTACCCAACACGAGAATAATAATATCAAAAATTCCAAATTTCCACTTTAATAAGAAAAATTAAAACATATTTAATTACTCTCGTTTGTGTTATAATACGATTATAATAATCTTTGCACGCAATTAACATTTTTCTTCGCCATTAGTTAATCGCATTATGGACGCAGCTGCTACTTTGTACAGATGCTCTCTTATCATGATTTAACTGTTTGCTTCGAACTGGCCAGACCTTATTTGCATTAAAACAAGTTCGACGAACTTTGGATCAGTTTAATTCTATCCCCACTATACTTCGTTTCGTTTTAATTTATCGGATGTTTTTCAAAGTCTTGGAGTGTTTTATCATATCGTAAATTAATTAAAGGAAGATAGTGCAAAAACCAGCTACTAATTACTTTCTATATAAAATTTTGAAAATACATGTTTTGCGTGTTAGACGATGAATTGGATTATACAGAAATTTATCTTTTGTCGTTTAATCTCTTCTAGCTACACAAAATTATTACATCGTGTTAAAAGTATTTAGCTAAAATAATTACACTGATTATTTTTCTAATTAAACAGAACTTAAGTAAATTTAAAGAGTCTCCTTCAATAAAGGAATTCAATTAAAACATCCCTTGTGAAGCTCGATAAAAGAAGTGCAATCCGACTTTCATTGACCATAATGAATAAAAAAAAAAAAAAAGAAACCACAAGGTTATCGTTCATTCTTTCCAACGGCGGTTTTTAATATCCTCAATAATCCCGGCAGTTTTGAAATACGAATGAATTCGTGTTTGCTCGACGGGAACGACTTTCATCCCCGTTAACTTGCATTGCACTTATGGAAAATTTAACGATTCACCGTAACAGGCCCGTAACACGTGTTTCAATTTCAGCGAGACCGAAGAAAGCAGAGGAAGAAAAAAAAAAAAGAAGAAATATAAAAGGTAGAATAATAAGGGGGACGTTGAAAATTCAAAAGGCAAGCCCTCAGAAGCCGGGCAGAAGCAAGAGTTGTGTTGTAACAAGCCAAGCTAGCTCTCGTTAAGGTCGCTTTGACACAGCTATAAAGAGATAAATAATTTGGTTACGAGCGTCTAATGACATTATGCGAGAGTAAAGTGGTAACGAGCAACTGTTGCTAATTTTTCATTTAAAGCTTTAATGCCGACTACGGCGAGTCTGACGGCACGGATGAAGCGTGCATTCGCAATTTCTCCTTGATTATTTCCGTAATTCAATAATCCTTCCACGACGAATTTCAGACCATTATACCGGATAATTAGTCTAATTGTATCGTATTTTGATAATGTCATTAGAATCCACCAACTTCTGTATTTATACTTTAACACAATGAAGATCATTGTAAGTAAAGTAAGGATGATTGATACAAAGTGAGAAGAAAGACATCTTAATTAACACTGTGCGAAAGATTATGTTACTCGAAATATGATACTTTCTAATGCAATATATCAGTATTATTTAAATAAAATAATTGCAAAAATTACTAATATTCTTTTGATTCACTGTACACGAAACGGTGTTTAAATTATAATATCCCAAAAGAATTGAGTAATTAAAAAGAGAAAGTTTCAAATTTTAATTGCAAAGTTCCATACCTTTGGATTTCAATTAACTAATCCTAATAATATATCTTCTATTATAATTCAAAGCCAAACTATCCTAACAAACTTGAGGATAATATAAATTTCTTTCATGTAATAAAACTTGTATAAATTTTTGCATAAGTTAAAAATGATATGAGCTTGCAATAAAATTTCAACGAAGAAGAACAAAGAAAAAATCTGCACCTTAATTTCAGAATAATGCAGTTTAATCAGATCAAGCAGAAAAGATTCTTTTATTTCAGGATACTGTACTTTTTTTAATTGAGAAATCCCTTAAGCTGTTATTACTTTATATTACATATAGTATATCCAATGCAAATTCAATTGTCTCTATGGATTTTATAATCTCTTTCTGTACTCGAAAGAACATAATACTTTTATTACACAGCTTCGCTAGCCTTTAACGTTCTCTGATTGAATTCTACAGTAATTTTAATACAATTATTCGACTTGCTCGATCAGAAACACACGGTGGGAATAAATTTCAATTACACCTTACCTACCCTGGCAGAGGTACTCTTCAAGAACAATTTCGAACGCCATTACAACCACCCTCGAGCACATCCGGTAACCCCCGTTTTCTATTAGTACAAGCGTTTCTCGAGGCCTCGTCGCGAGATTTCGAATATTCTAAGGAAAATGCAAATATCGGCCAAAGTTTGGCCAAGGAGATGGGAGACGCGTACGAGCCTGCTATACGTGTCTCTTCCGCTCATGGCGTACGGGTATCCGGCTTGTTTGTATTCCGTATTCAAGCCTGTCTATAGGGAAATTGTGGTACTATTCGGCCGTTGAAATCTATGAACACGTCTGTGGCCTTTGATCGTCCTCGTTCCTTCCATGTGTTGCCGTCTCATTAACCCTTTCGGTCTGACCGGCCGACTTACACTTAACTAAGGGGATCAAGCTCAAGCGAATTGCTCGCCAAATTGAATTCATAAACCTAGCCTTTAGCTCTGCCAATGATTCTGATGCAATTCGAAAGTACTTTCATTCGAGCTACATGATATTTTAAATCTTTCGAGACTCGTGTTATACAGAGCTTTTACAAATTTTCATAATCAATATAAGAATAATTTGTACACGGTACAAATGAACCAACAGTTTTCTCTGACAGAAAAAATTAAAAAGACTACAGGGTACACGTTAAAAAGATCAAAATATCAGTCTTTGAAAAATCAGTGTCGGTACACAAATGCATCAGGAGACTTCAAAGGATGAAATTAACTGCCAAATGATTGGATTTTCACAATTTTAATTAAAGGAAAGTGAATGGGTCTGAATTTTAAAAAATTTGACGGCTAATTATGAATTTAATTTTACGGTGGATAAAAGAATCGAAACTGGTGTAATGTGTTAATAAATGTGCTTGGCAGGTTGGCTGGGTGAAAGCGGACACTAAGGCAATCCAGGCTATCCACGATCACGTGATAACTCACAACAAGAGGGTTTCAGTGTCCCACAGCGATCATACAATGTGGAATCTTCATATAAAAGGTGTTCAGAAGGAGGACGAAGGACTTTACATGTGTCAAATTAACACGGATCCCATGAAGAGTCAGGTAAGTCCACAATTTAAATTATTATTCGTCTGATAAGCTTACGCTAACGTATGAAACGCCTTTTCCGAATAGGGAAATTAGGAAACCGTACGTATGCATAAATTAACGAAGGTATTACCGGGTATTATCATTGATCCTCTTGGAAAGTGGAAAACCAGGTAGGAATTAGGGATTTACTTAGGTAAGGATGGCTATCGGACGTGTTTACCTGTTATTTCGAGCGTTTTCAGTAACTAAGCGGTCGAAATCAGAGCTTTCTGCGTGCAGTTTAACCGTGCAGGACGAATGGTGGTAAGCCGAGAAACTCGTCGAAATAACTAATTGGAAACGGCACCACCGACACTATTTAGATCGATAAAGTTTCACGATGCACGCCGTTTGCGGGGCCCATCAATTCCAATTAGGCGACTCTCTACCTTTATCACTTAGCGCATTTCTTTGGTTAAATCTGTATTCTTTTGATCCAATCACGACTCAATAACGTTCGTATAAAAGAGATTGATTTATAGGAAATTATTCTTCATTCAAAACTTGGACAGCAGGCGTCTCTTAAAATATAAATAAGAGCACAACATTCTTTCAGCCCAGAGATAATATGAAATATTGAGTAACAATTTCTATAAAAATAGGAATAATTTTTTTTTTAGACTTGATCCATAAAAATACTATGATAATTTTTAAATATCAGAAAGGATTAAACAATACGTGTTGGATTCACGAGGACTAATCGTTATTAGAACCGATTATTAATCGAATCTTTAATTACATAGTTAGATGAAAATAGAAACTATCGGTTCGAACGAACGTTTTCCTGCTTCTGACAGTTGCAAAATGTTTACGAACGGAATAGTGATACAAAGCCGCAACGCTATTAACTGAAATATGGAAATTCACGTGTATAGGTATTAGTTGCCTTATGTTACAATCTCTGCAAGTATCGAAGGTATTTCTCGGTGAGCTGTTGAAGTACCGAATACCGCGAAACTTAACAGGCCGCCTTCACAAGTTCAGGAATGTTAGCTCTCGTTTATGAACACCTTGGAAATAGTGTATAGCTTTCAGACATTTCGGAAGAAGTTGACTCCATTAAACTCTGTTCAATTATGCGCATCTATTTCTGTTTTCCACAAGGGTAATTAACCCTTCACCCTGCTATTAATAGTCAAACTAATCACATTTGTTTCCTGTAAGCTACTCTAAATTCCTCGAATTAATTTTATAAACATAGTTGGTAAAATTTCGTTCTATAAATAAATATAATTAATTTGTTTTTTAGAGTTTATGTGAAGATCAATATTTTATAAATAAAATTCTACTGAATTTGTTATTTCGTGTTTTACTTTCCAAGCGGATTAAACAACAAAATGTTTGCTTATGGCAATGTATTAAAATAAGTTGTACTTGGAAAAAGTTACTACCTGGCTGAATTTAAATCTTCTCTTTTGGAAATGGATGATCGAAGAGCGATCTATGCGGGTTGTTTAGAAAGTTATGTTCTCTTCAAACGATTATATGACAGACGACCCAAATATGGGCATCATATTCATATTTTTATCTGTTTCCACGTTTGTCTCTTTTCCAGAAGCGTAGAAAGCAAATAACCTTGCATAAAATTGACGAGTTGCGAGACGACCCATTTCCTTTCCACGCTAAAAATTTCAACGCACTCGTGAACACGGAATTCACGGTGGAATAAAATTTCGCTTTTGGTTTAAAAAAAAAAAGGCACAATGCAATCTCCTCCATTCGAATAAAACCGTCGGGAAAGCAGACCCTCCGATCGATCTCCACTGTCCATCATATATCGAATAAATTCGCAAACAAATAAAAACCATGTGTTGCTCAAGTATTTTTTCGAAGTTTCTTAGGAAAGAAAGTTCTGAACAATTTGTTTGTGTCTGTTGGACTTTGACGGATGATCATATGTAACCAGGGAAAGTAACATTTTCAAAGTAATTTATATAAATTTGCACGTGTTTTTGTTTCAAAATAATTATTATTATTTAAATTTGAAAATATTTATGTATAGAAATTTTGTTCATTGATCTCTTTTTTTAAATTGTTTTTATTGAATTCTGGAATATGATATCATCTTAGGATCAGACAGGAAGTTTCTTTCAGAAGAGATTTTAGTACCAAAAGCACCGATTCTTGGATATTTTATAAGCTTCTATTGGAAAATATTCTATGTGTACTTGTATACCACTGATAAATATTAGAATAAAATTTGTATTGAAATGAGAGAGATTCTACTATTTCATTATCCTTAGAAAAAAATAAATTATGAAGTAATTGAAGCTATTATAAATGCAAATTTTATATAATTATATTAGGCTACTATTATTGCAGCAAAAAAATGAAGATTAATTTGGCATTAAATAATTCTATACCTAAGCAACGTTGAGCAATTCGTTCAATTAGGAAATGTATCACTAAACTGTTCCTTAAGCCACGAATAAAAAATTAGTCCTTAACGATCTATTTCCCCTAATGTACGAACGTCACCTTTCATTCCTTCGACTTTCAGTCAGCCAGCATCTGTTTCTCGCGTCGTGGCGCACCTGTACCAGTAGACACACTCTGTAAAGCATACAAATCCCCCTTTCTTTCCACCCTTTGGTTCGTCTCGCTCCGACAAAGTGTGATATGGCTCGAGATAGAGTCGAGTTCTCTTTTTTGAGATCTAATTTTCCGACGTTTCAGATTGAATCCAGGCTTCCCGTGCCTGTCCAGGAATCTCTTTCGTAGAAACAGTAATCTTAAATAGTGTAGGAGACTGCAGGGGTTGTCAAGTCACAGACCTACCCTTAACGTGTCTCTTAAGTAATGAGCGAGAGAAATATCGTCGTAAATGATGCCTTACAAGGGACCTTCAGTTTATTGAATTAATTTCAGAATTTTCCTGTATTCAGGCTTCAAGGGAGAAACTACCCCTTTTATTTATAATTCATTGCTAATTTCAAAGTACAATATTATTTTGAAAATAATTTATTTTTGAACTGTAAAAATTAATAAAATAATTATCACTGTAATTTTATCTACCTCTAAACCACCCTTGTTGGTAGAGAAACCCTTTCGGCCTAAATACAAGTTAAATTCTGTCCTTTTTCATTTCATCAGCATCATTTGGGCCTCGATGTTGGTCCTTCTCTTTCATCAAGCAGTGGAACTTGTACCACCCTTCCAAAAGGGAAATTCTATGAGCAGTTTCGTTTCGGCTAAACGTATTTCTCTGCTCGTTTCCGCGCGACTCCAGCTTGGCGGGTCTTTTCGAGTATGCTTGTCGTGTCGACTAACAAAATGCGCCTTGGGATAAAGTGTATTCGTAAGGGTGAAAAGGGAGTGCGTGTCGCTGGTCGTTTTTCCAGCTATGTATTTTAATATGTGACAGTTTAATTCTTTTGTTTATGGTTTTAATATTTCTTCAGTTGTGCGTTTCTCTTTTAATTTTACGTTTCTAATTTCGTGTGTTACGTTTAAGAGCTTGAAAGACGCGTTACTCTAATAATTTGATGGCACTTTTTATTTTTTTGGAAAAATTCTGTTGATACACTTTTGGACGGAATAGTAGTAAATTTTAGATAAATTTGTGTTCAAAATGTTAATTAAGTTGTGATCATTACCCATTATTAGATTACATCTAATTGGCATTCGATGCAGTGAATATGAACAAAGTATGAATTCAAAATACGAAATTAATTAGTATAGTTGATATGTATATTAAGAGTGATCATTCGAACAATTGGAAGGAATTAAAATGATATTAATTATGTTATACTAGAGTATAATAGATGTATATGTCAATATTCGTTTGCAACAGATCGATATAAATTTATTAGTGATAATTTGATTTTGGAACTCCACAATTTAATGATGTCAATATAGAAATTAATCTCACTTTAATTGCAATTTTTCTCAAAATTGGTAAAAATAAAAATCGTAATTGGAAACAACAGAACAATCTTCAATTAAAAGTTCTTAATTATAATACATAATAATGAAGCCATAATTAATCGAATAATTTCTAGAACATTCACAATAAATATTTCTCACCTCGTTACATGAAATTAATGTAAATTATTGCCAAGGTGAAAAACAGTTTCGAATTGAATAATTTATTGCTAATATTAAAACGTGGCAGTTTTTATGATTAATAGATGATACGATTTTAATGCTGAGAGGAAATGCTTTGAAAAATCGAGAGAAACCGTTCCCAGACAAAATCCTGAAGAAAGTAAAGAAGATGATAAAATAATAGGAAATCTCCGAATAGTCTGGTTCCCACTAATTGTATTTCCTTCTAGTTTCCGTACTGTCTCGACGGATGTCGTGCTTCTTCTCTGCTACTTTTTACAGTTCCCCTTGTACGAAATATATTCAGTCGTGAACTGCATATAAATATTGTAAAGGTTGTTAGGGAATGCTTATTTCAAACGCGTTTCTTTTAAATCTCTGAAACAGTTTGCTATTTCGACCATGAAATTATAATATTAAAATTTTCTATTTTATCATTACTATTTCAGACCTTTAATTTTATTAATATTATTACTCAAGTGAAAATTAATATCTGTGATAAAGCATATGAAAATTGTCAAGACATAATTTTAAATTTAAACTTTCACTTTGAACTAGATTTCGTAAGTGATTATGTAATAAAATTTTCAATACAGATTTAACAAAAATTATTACACATTTTTATTCGTAATTTTAATTTCTCCAAAGGCATTTAATGAATTTTTCTTTGAAAGTGGTTAAACCGTGCTCCTTTTCAGCAATGTCATCTTTTTCAGAACGAGTTTAAAAAATTCTCTTTAAGTCTAGATTAAAGTATTTTCAACAGCGTCGATCAAAATTATCCCCGAGACCTTATTACCTTTTTTTTCCTAGAGACTGATAGGATAACCATATCAAATAGGATCAGAAATTGACACGATAATATAATGCTTCTAATAATTTTCTAAAATGTACAATTAAAAATGAACAACAAATACTTGTACACTGGAATATAAACTTGTGTGAGGGGTATAAATATCGAGAAAATAAAATAATCAAAATTACAATCAACCGTGAGAAGAGCCATCGAGTGTCCTCCGAGTGATCCAGAAATACCAAGAGGACTAACGATTTCAACAAAATTCTAATTAACCCTTCCCACCATTAATATCCAATTTCCACCGACGCATGTCCACGTCGTTCTCAGATGAAAGGGTTAAAAAATCTGTAACAAGACAGGTGTTTTGGAGCTGGTGCCTAAACAAATCGATCGATCAGACGACGGTCCGATTAACGCGGATATTTATCAAACATCCTCCCCTGATAGAATTGTTCCCAAGTAGGCAATAATTAATTTATGGAATGGAGCCGGGGGTTTCATAATTCACCCGTGACACCGGCAAGTTTACGTGTTCGGGCACGTGTCTATCTGTCACCGAACTGTCACACGAGAAAGGATAAAGGACGAGGCGGGACGTAAAGACGCAAGACAGAGAACATAGACAGACACGTTACCGTTCCACGACGTATTCGTCGTGACTGTTTTAAGCAGTTCGGTGACTTGCCAGACAACTCGGTTATAACGATTGAAGTTTCGTCGTAGCGTAGATTACATCCTCGTAATTACGAGCGCAAGCTTCGAACAGGTGCCTCCACCTTCTGCCGAATGTTTAAGCTGACTGCCTTAAAGCCAAACCCGTAAGTGGAGTGGAAAGATATTAAGGTTCGCCCAAGTCCTTCCGACGTTACGTGGTTTGACGTATGACCGACTGGAAGAATCCTGACGCAGACTGGGAAACTCGGTTCGCGGGATCCTTCAACGTTTCTACGCCGGGAATTATGACGGTACACTAAATAATGGCAGCTTGTTTGCTGATAAGCGTTCCTTCCAGCCCCGCTTGCCTTCTAAGATCTCGAGCAGAGAACACCACGCGACTCGTCAGGATTGTTAAACGCGTTGTTTAGAACTTGCCGATCGTTACCTCGGCTCCGTGTTTGCGGAGTTGCGGCAATTTCTTTCGGCTTCCTGGCAACGATTCACCGTCTCGTTATGCACGGGTTGCTACTGTTCCATTTAATTGAAAGATAAACTCGAAACGTTAGACACTGAATGACTTCTATTGTCACGGAATTGAATTTTATGCAACTGCATCTGATATTTCAAACTTTATTTTTATTCATCATAAAATAGACTTTTATGTGAATCAGATTATCTGTAATGATTCTATAATTAATAGACTGATTGTTTTATTATTAATAGAATAACATGGTTTAGAGAGGGCTTCGTTTTAATCCAATTTTTTAGCAAAATAAAATTAAATCAGTTTATTAATAATAGAATTATTTGGAGATCTAGTATTCTGCAGAAAGAATTTTAAAGTAAATATAAATTCCTTTAGTTTAATTTGAAATATGATCAGTGAATTACAATTTTTGTCATCTTCTTCAACCAATCAATTTTACAGAATCTGATCAAACCTTTTCAAAATCAATCAACGTACCTCAAGTATATAAATCAAGAAAGAACAAAATGTGCTTCTTTTTTAAAATCAGATTACCCTTCATTGAAAGTCTACTGCTGGAACCTTGAATCCGAATACGAAATCGTGCGATTTTCTAATGAACGAACTGTTCCACCATGAAAAAAAAAAAGGAAGATTTCGAACCACCTTCAACTCTTCAATTTTACATCTACATCCTCTTGAAATTTTAATAACAATAATTAATGAAAAACCAATTATAAATTTTTAGAAAATTCCACAATGTTTAACAATACTGGGGTCAAATGTTTGTCGTTAATTAAGGAAAATCCACAGCCGCTCATCGCCACCTTTAACAACCCTACAGTATGTTACTCCACTCTAGCTTGCAGTGGGGTTAAAGGAACGAAATACAGCGAGGATTTAGGGGCTCTTACGTTATTCAGTCCTGCTCGCGAATAGAGTAATGTGTACGGACATAATTTAGAGATTCGGTAAGAAAGGAAATTTACTTGATGCATTGTGCAGCCGTTAAGCGTATCATTAACATTAAATTCTGGCTGGTTCCGGTGCGTAGCGGAAAATATATCTCGTGCGGGACGAGTTTTGGCACGCCCGTTGAAATACTGTTCTGCAGAACGTAAGGCGCAACCCCTTGCTGTAATTCCATCCTGGCTTTCCATCGAGAAACATTACCGAACTGGAAAACTTTGCGTTCGCGTAAATTTTTCGAAGGAACGCGGAATTATATGAGAAATAACGTATATTATTTTTATTTTTATTTTTCAGACAGGCATGTTGTCCATTGTTGTGCCGCCAGATTTTATTTCTGAAGAGACATCAAGTGATATTATAGTACGCGAAGGAGGACAGGTAATTAATATTTCATTTTTAATTAATTATAATTGAAAATTTTGGTTATTCAAATTTCAACTACGATTAAAAATAATACTACGAACCTTAATAATGAATTAAAGTACATTCTATATTAATTATCTTTTCTCTTCACTGAGGATTAATTATTTAGTAAAAATTAATTAAAGAATGAATTGTAATGCAAAATTATTTACTTTTTTTTTAAATTTAAATTAACAAGAGTTCTATTTTATTTAACACACATCTATTTTTATTTAAATGATTCCTAAATCTTCAGTTTGCATATGTGTCATACGATTGAAAATATAAATCAATGAAAAAGGTATTGACATTTATGTCAAATATAGAAACAGGAGTTAAATCAAGTCAAAATCTGCGTAGATTTGAACTGTAACGTTATGAAAGAGAAAATCCCAGGAATATTGCTAAAACGTCTCAATAACCTGTTGCTCGTGTACGTATCACAGTACCATCGTTTTCGAAACGTCTAACGTAATGTGTAAATATTTTCCTTTTCCTGCTTTTCTTATCAGACTTGGAATGCAAGCAACATATTACAGAATACTTTTAAGAATCCTTTGTACCGAGTTTCCTCCAATCACCATACGAAACTCTACAGTCAAGATTTTTACTTACAGGTCAAAATCTTAGAAACGAAATTCGAAAGACGTTGTTCAAAGTAATATATGCGCGTAGCAAGAATGAAAGTTCATATAATAAGCATGTAAGAGAACTTGTCTGAACTTTAAAATTGGTTACCTAGTTAGCGGAGAATGGATCGTCGAAAATTTGCGGAGATCCCATAAATTTGAAAATGAAAAAGCGTAAGACTCGAAGAATTATGAAAATAATTGATGAAACTTTATGAAAAAGTGTAATGAATTCATCAATCAGTGGTGATATTTCATTTATGAAAAAAGTATCATAGACACGAAGTTTATTATTCATATATTAAAAAATTGAAAAATTTCTCTGTAGTTTTAGCACAGTTACTTTATGAAATTTTGTACTCTTTTTTGATAATTTTTTCGTGTAATTTTCCTGCCAATTTTACATCACTTCACTGTATTTTCAAGAAAATGTAATAAAAGAGAAATACAGTTCCCATTTATTGTTTCAATTACAGAAACAGAATAGAATTACAACAGCTAATTTATGAAATTCTGAAGGGAATTCAAAAGCTTCTATCGTGTTTGAGGCAATTAATTTTACATAATGAAACATTTTTAATTAAGCTATTTTGTTAGTATTCACTGAAAAGTTAAAACTGGTTCTTTTTAGAGAGTCAATTATCAATTAATTATCATGTCATTGATTGTAAAATCATTTGCAACACTTCTACAGTTAAATATTAATATAGATTATGACTAAATATTATTCAAAAATTCTCACACGAAATAAAAGAATCTTTATACAATTTAACATCATCATAATATAATTATTTATACTTGAACGATAGAAACCTTTGCGTAATTTCAGAAAAGGAAAAAAATAGCTGATACATGGACTAAAAAAAATATTACTCCAATATTTCGTCAACGTGACGTTCACAGTTCGTTCCGAGTTAGTCTTATTAAAAATGAAAGTTTCAATTTCAATCCTCGCGAATCCAATGTTCCACCATCCTACCGTACAAAAGGTAGCAACGATATTTTTTCATTCGAACGATAAATATTGTTATTAATGGCACGTAGCGTACAGGTTGGCTGTGTGTTTATAAAAATCTCGTTGCCCGTTTAGATTCTCCTTTTCCTACCCCGGCCGCGATACGTTTTCTACTTTATCTGAATTTCAATGCGAGCCGGGGCTAAAACTTTGAAACTCGTTTTCCCGTGTCATCTCGCATTTCGGATATCCACTCTCTGGAACCTATCTGTGTCCTTAATTTAAAATTGATAAGCTCGTTCGTGGAGATCCCGCGAAACGACGAGATCGAGGAAAAGCAACGTTTCGCATCGCTTGCTAGGAAAATCTGTTCGACGAATGTTTCTTTTTTTTTTTCTCTCTCTTTCTCTCCCTCTTTACTCTCGATAAAAATAACGATAAAATCCTGTGGCTATCGACGTAAAATGTCGAAGGTTTTTCCTTTTAAAGCCGCTCGAAGAGAGCTCATCGACGGAAACGAACGAAATTCTTAGTCGATTATATTCCGGATTCCCGATGTTGTTTTCATCGATCCAATACCGGCATTTTATGGGACGGTTTTTGTCGCGTCACACCGACGGATTGAGTATCTACTGTTGTTTAATGGTAAATTGATTACGATTTGATCAAGCGTACCCTCGATATTCTTTAAGTCAATAGAGGGAACTTTATCTTGTTCGATCGAACGACAGAATTAAATTAGAGAAGAGCCACGATTATTCGAACCCTCAACTCTTTTATTCTCGTAGAAAAAAGAAAGTAAAATTGTACGAGAAATGTTATTTTATGATATTAGAGTTAGAGATAATAAAGTAATTATTTTTGTTCTTTAAATAATTCTTAAGCTACCATTTTATTGGAGGCTTTGTATTTTCAAGCTTCTTGGTTCTATTATACTTCGAACTCGCAGAATAAACATATTCATAGGTGGATGTATAAAACAGTACGTTTGTCACTCACCGTGCAGCAGAGAATTGTCGAAGTACTCTGATGGCAGCTTCTCGGGTCTCTAGAGTCCTTCTTTCCATTGCCACGTTTTCTCACTGCATACACTTCAACACTCGAATATCCTTTACGCGGAAAACCGAGCGGTACGAGGCTCATTTGCTGAAGCACCGAACACGACTGTTCCTGAGATACTGGATTAATTCAATGTCGTAGCGTTCGAAACGAACGCTCGCTCTGTTGTCATTATACGCGCGTGTAATGAAAGTAGAAGCCGAGTTTGAATGTTGTTTACAAAAACGAAGTCTGTTGATAATTCGCGAGCGAAGGTTTGTTAATCTCTCGAAGAATGTACACAACTGTTTGGTGTACAGCCTTATGGAATGAAAAATGTGTTTCTTTTGTACAAATGTAATAAAAGTCTCATTAGTTTTTATTATTCACAACAAATATGAATATTATTTATTATTTATTGTACCATTTGTAATATTATTATTAATAATTTTCAATAATTATTTTCATTCTGATTGATGTAAAATCTGTTAATTATTCATGTATTTGCTATGAATAATTGCAATATTGCTCTTTTTAGTTTTCAGTAATTATTTCAATTCCTGTTAATGTAGAATTTTTGAAATTATTTATATGTATTAAATAACTCTATTCCTCATTTGTTGTTTTCTTTTAATTATTTATTGTATCATTTGCGATACTGTTGTTAATATTTTGATTCTGATAGACTTAGAAATCTTTCAATTATTCGTGCACTATAAATAATTTTCTCATTTGTTTTGTTATTTTTACTATTCATTATGTTAGTTTATGATGAAAGGGTAGTGTCATTCATCATCACGCTTCAGCAATAATGTTGATTTATGAGAATCAGTTAGTGAAATGCTGAATATTCTGGTCAGCATTTTGAGATTACATGACATATCCCAGCTTATGTTGCAAGATTCGAATTATTACATTAATTTGACATAATCTGATCGTATTATATTATAATATTACTTATCTTCCTTGTATAATCTGAACTTTTAAGGCAGTTAATTTTTCATGAAATAAATTGTATTGGAACTATTAAATATATATAAACTTGTATAAATGCTGTGAACTTCTTAACAGTGCACTTCAACCTTTGTGTTATTCTTGCACCAGCTATTTATATTGTTCACCTTTCACTGTTTATACATTATTGAAACTGCACCTAGTTTTGATATACAGGGTATTGGGTGTAACTAGGTCAAGCTGTACCTTTCAACCACTTAAAAATTGTTTAAAAATATCACCGGGCAAAACTGAATGGTGTTGAAAGATGTACTATTTCAGTTGATGCACTTTTGTGCATCGGTGCATCATAAAAGTGCAGTTCCACTTTTTTTGAAGCGAAGAATAGCTAAACTAAATTACTACATCATTTTAAGTAATATTACTCTATTTCTTAAATAATATTACACACCATTGTTGGATTAACCCTTTGTTGCATTATATTGCAGATGCATTGCACATAATAATATGCTATAAAGTTTTCGAATTTTGTAAATTTTTGTAATTATAATGTTGAAATTTCAGTATTATACAATCTTATCTCAAATAAATTTCTGAAATAAAAAATATTCTCTATAGTTTAATGCTGTATCTCTGACACAATTCAAACAAATCAGGCGACAAAGGGTTAATACTTGCAGTTTGAAATTTGCTATTTGTTATAAGACTCAATGAACTAATATTACTTATAAATAACAAGCATTAAATGTTCCTTTTTCATCCTTTTCAAAATCAAACTACTATTTCCAACGAACGATATAATCCGAAGGTATGTGAAACCCAGTTCCATTCCGAATACATTTCACCCACGGTTCATGGGTGTAATTTTTCCAAACATATTTATACGTGACCCGGCAAATAACGAACTTTCGATTCTCTGTATAATTCTGGTTTCATAACACGTACAGGTGAAGTTAACGTGCCGTGCAAGAGGCGTACCGCCGCCCCGCGTGTTGTGGCGCAGAGAAGACGGGAAGGACATTATAATTCGGAAGCCATTTGCAGGGAACGCCTTGAACCAGAAGTCTCCTGGTAAGATTTAATATAGATGATACTCAACTCCGTTCCGTCGATGTAACCCGGAATATACAATTATGTTTTCCTCGAACGTAGACGCCTGGATTCACCCGGTGTTTTAATTTCCTTATTTCACCCTCGCGAAACCGCAGACGAGCTCGCGAACCGCCCCCAGCGAGACGTAACTTTCTCAAGATTGTTAAGTAATACTTTTGTGCAACCTCGTAGAGAATCGATAGAACTCTCGTGTTTTTTACGGGTCACGTTTTGCACCCGTTTGCCGGAATACTGCGAATATTTACGATTAGAACGCGCACAATGTTTCCGGAAGATGCTTCTGCAATATTTGTAATACCCATTAGTGTATTCTAATTTAAAGGATACAGAAGAAAATGATATTTCCTTCCTTTTTAGAAATGAAATTACAATTCTATCTCACAAGATTTTACACCACCTCTGCTAAATAAAAAGATTCAAAAAATTGTCATCTTTTATAATGAAACGAAAATTGTAACAGAAGAAGAAGAAGAATAAACTGATCTAAATTAAAACTAAATGCAAACACAGCTGAGTAAACGTCTATACACGAAATCAAACGTCGTTCAATGTTCGCTGGTAAAAAGAAAAAAAAAAAAGCTGGATGTAGTTCGTTCTTTAACAATATCACCATTCGTGCAACTCCATTACGCTCTTCAAATGTCGCTTAACTACCGACGCTTTTCGTCGCGACGTCCGTGCATTCACACGTTGTAAAACGAAATCGTTGGACGTCGTGTCTCGTCTCCGGTCGTTGAAAACGATCGGTGGATAGCGTTCGTTGAAATTGTGGAATACCTGATGGACAGAAACGTACCGTGCCAGAGTTACCCTTGCACGTTCCTGTTTCAGACTAAACGACGTATTTAGTATTCGCTTCAGCATGGTGTTACTAATAGCGGGTAAATTTCGGTGCGACGTCGACGTCGCGACACCTCTCTCGCTCTCTGTGTGTGCACTGCAACCCTTGCAACACGTGCTAAGTGCAGCGACCGTAGCTACGCGCCAAGGGGATAGCTTATTGTTGGCCTACAATGGCGATAATTATTGGATATCGCGAGAGGGGTGGGGGAGTGAAAAGTTGCGAACCTGCCTACGAGAGCTGCACCTTAATTGCCCTAAGATTTCAATTTACCATGGTACACGGCTCGTTGGTACAGGAAATTTTCTCAATAAAATGTATACGAGTGTTTTCTGCTGTTTCGCAAATGCTGCATATTAAATTTGACGATGACATAAATGTATAAGAAAATGGCACTTGTGGTACATCAAATTAAAGCTTAAAGCTTGAAGAAAATAACTATATAAACCCCCTGTTGATACTCTCAATTCAGAATGACTGGTTGTGGATCGCAACGGACAATGTCCAATTTCGAAATGTGAAAAGTCTAAGATTATTTCATGACATAAAAGTATTCCAAAATAGCACTTGTGACATATCAATTTAAAGCTTAAAATCTGCTAAAGTTTACTGCATAAATGGTTCATAATAATTCTCAATACGAAATTAGTGATTCTTCACCAAAACTAACAATAAAATTCAATCATCTATATTCTATTTAAAATAGAAACTTGCCTCTTTTAGTAATTTGATTTTTCATTTAGTAATTAAAAAACTGGTGATGTTTAAATAATATTGTTTTCCAAGAACGTCGGTTCATGAAGAAATCGTTGGGTAGCCGCACTTTTATAATTACCAGTGTTGCTTTCCGAATCAGTAACGCAACAGAGCCTCGCTGGGAAGTTAAGCGAAACTCGATGATTTATGATTTACAAACTCATTAATTAGCGATTTCTGTTGGCACGCTGCTAGGAAGCAGTTCGACGGATTTACGGAAGTTTGCTTTTTAAGGCAGTAGTTTTCTGGTAAATTCATGTGCGAGTGGTTCAAAAACGTTGATTGTTCCTACTAAATAAAAAGCATGAAAGGTAGATATAAAATGAAATATCTGCATTCAACCTTTTGTGATATTCTCACGAGGATATAATAAATTTCTGCAAATTGTTTGGACTTTCTACGGTGTTCGAAAAAAGAAAGGATACGCAGCTACGATATTGAATAAAACATAAATTATATTTCGAGGAATTTTACTTTATTATGAACACTGATAATTAAATTCTCTTTCGCAAGTCACTGCTTTATGTTAGCAAATAAATTAGTGCAGTAAAACGACGTTGCTTGTTCGAACAATAAGGCGTACATAACGCTGTTCTCGTAATTAATTCTTTTGGCAAACGACAAATTAGATTGAAAGAGCCATGTACACCCGTAAATTTTAATAAAGAAAATTTCTACGTAACACCGAGATTATTAATAGAAATTTCTGCTCGCTTTGTTAATGAAACTTCAAAAATGCGGTTTACCTTTGAAAGACGTGTAATTTTGCGTTTCGACGTAATTCAATTAAGAAATTATGGGTCTGCAGACGACGTTCGTATTTCGAAATTTTGGAAAACCAATGTGTTCACAAGTTTCCAGCAATGTACAGTAAGAAGAGCACATGGGGATAGTTTGCGCGTTTCATCTGCAATATTCCCAGCAGAGAGAACGAACAGGTGTAACAAATTGCATTAAAAGACCACGTTTTATCTTGCCCAATTTTTCTTGTCAGCATTCTCTGTGAATCTATTTAAACATAATGGTCTTAAGCTGGATAATTAAAAAAGATTTTTGAATTCTACTTCTTCAAAAAATAATTTCTACTCGACAGTGGTCTCTGAATCTTTCAATTTTTCAAATTAGTACTTTTATTTATGTATAATACTTGGATATTTAATGTGACATTTATTACCGAATTAAAATTTTTATAGTTGATTATAAAAATTTCTTCATCCTTCCAGCAACTTTTATTAAAGAAAGTAATAATATATTTTATTGCTGGTAATAAAGTTTAATCAATTCAACTGCTTTTCACTATAATTTCCTTGCAAAGTAGATCAATAATTCTATATATCATGAGATTATAATCAATCTCAAAATAATTAAAGCAAATTGAAAATAATCGAATTATTTCCCTGAACAAATGCTTAAATCTCAAGAACAGTTGAAACATTTATAATTAAAAATAATTCGCACAAATGGAACATACATATAAGTATTCGCATCATCGTGGAAACGTGCACACGTGAAAGCTAATTTAATTAAAAAATATTTTATCAAGCACAAAAAACTTTATTTAAAAGCTTCACTTCGCCCTGATTGTTACAAGGAGCGTAAAAATTCAAGTTAAAGCTTGCCTGGTCCACGACAGCTCCAATGTTTTGTTCTAAAAAACTTTCGAAAGTATTAAACAGTACTCTACGCTTCATTTAAACTTCTTTCTTTTCACTGAATTAAAAAAAAAAAGAGTCCAATTTAAAGGTTCTTAAAAAAAGAAATCTAATAATTAAGGTATAGAAAAAATGGTACACTATACTGTAGAATATTTTCAAAAAATTTGATGAAAATTAAACCCGGGAAATGAACAAAAAATTAGATAGCATGTTTGAAATTATTTCAATTTATAATATTCGTAATAAATTTAAGCTTAAATTAGAATTATACTTCATTCAAAATTTAATAAAAATAAAATTATCAATTTTTTGTCATATGTTTCATATTTTCCACTTTGTCTGTAAGATAATAAAAGATCCAATACTATGGATGACCTAGAAGTCAGAAGGATTAATTTAAGCCATAAAAAGTACTTAAATCATTTAAGTACCAATTTGAATGATGTTTCAGTGAGTTCGGTAAGCGAATACCAAGGCGAAGAATTGAACATGACGAAGATCTCGAGAAACGAGATGGGGGTTTATCTCTGTATCGCCAGCAACGGCATACCACCAACGGTCAGCAAACGTATTTTTATCAACGTTCATTGTGAGTAATAGTGATTAGTTTTGGCCAATAATCTATCGATTTCCTTTTACACGAACGAAGGGAAACACTCGTCTGTTGTTCGACTGCAAACCCCTATCTGGGATTCTGTTTCACAGTCGTGCCGGTAATTCATGTACCTAATCAACTGGTAGGAGCTCCTCTGGGTACAGACGTGGTCCTGGAATGTTTTGTCGAGGCTTCACCGAAGTCGATTAATTATTGGGTCAAGGATAACGGTAAGGATCTCCCTCTCGGCCACTTGCCTTCCAGTTTGATGTGATTCCTCGACAATCCTGGCACGTACGCTTTTACTCCTCGGATCGTACATCTTGCCACCCCCTTCTTTCCCTTTTTTTCCCTTACGTGTCACTTCGCCGGGATACAATCTGTTTAAGGCTTGTTTCATTTTCCTTCGTAAAAATACTGGAAATTTTGTGCAACCTTGTTTTTTGCCACCAAGCATTTTCTCTTGAATTCCATAGAGAATTTTCCAACAGTTCTCGAGTAGGAAATTTTCTTCCTTTTTATATTTTGAAGGATTATTGCTTTCCATTCGAATTTTTGGTATGTGTACGAATTTATATACAGCTTAGCAATAATTTGCATTACGTATCGTTGGACCAGTAAAATATAGTTGTTGCAGAAATAAATGTTGGTTTCGTGGTTTAGTTTCGCAAATAAATTCCACGTTTTTGGAATCGATATAACGAGAAAGAACGAGTGTTTTCGTAACATTTGTTCTTGCACCTTGTTATCCACTTAACAGGGATGAAATTTTCATTCGATCGTCGTAAATGAAACGAAAACTGTTTATATTATAATGATCGGAGATAAATCATGATTTAGTGTCCGATCGTATTACAGAATATTTAAATTTTACCTTCATTTTTCCTCTCATAAATGATTCGTTATAATTTATTTTTTAACAATGCGAGCGAATAAGAAAATTATTTTCAATTTCTCTACTTTGACGTTGAACATTTAAACACTATTTTCAGAAACTATCTGCTTCATTAATTTTCAATATTCGTACTTACAATCGTGAAAAGCGTCCACTGCTCGTAAGGTAATTATTACAAAACCGTCGATGTAATACATCAAAATACGATTAATGCTCAATGTAATCTAGTAATATGCGGTTGTATTGATCACTCGCTGTTAAATGGAAACAAGAATAATTACATTGTGCGCTGTTCCTCTACTAATTCATTTAAAAATTACGCTCGAGTTGCGTTTGAAATTACACCACTCAGATTAATGTAATTTCAAATCGTTTATCCGTCTCGGAAATCGATACCATCCAGAAACTACTAGTCAACGTTAAACACCTATTCAAACAGTTCAAAATATAAAACATAGATTAGATTATTTTATAACCCATTATTATTTTATTAATTTTTAACTCCCCGTCAGGGTTACAAATTCCACCCACTATATTAAAAGATCCCAAGAATTAATTAGAAAATTAAAAATTACTAATGATGGATCGCTGATTGATACATCCAATAAATCATATTGTTGGTATTTCACGTGGCTTTCTGTTCGAAAGAAACACTCCTCCCTTCTTAACAGGTTTAATATTTCCCCGTTGAAGTTGGTTGAAAAAAAAGTTGCAGACAAATGCGAGAGTGAATTACTCTCGGCCGTTCGCGAATATATTCTCCGAGCAGTTTGTAGCCTGCACGAGTAGACATGCCTTCGCTTCAGCGCAACTTCTGCGAAGCACTTCGTCCCAATGCATTCGTATGTAATTTTCACCTCGCACAGGAAAATCCTGTGCCCCCTTTTTCTCTGCTCCGTGTATACGTATATATATATATATACATATATACATACGTACGTATGTACGTACACGAGAACGTTTCAGACTGTAATAAGGAGACTCGGCGCGCGTTTAAGAAGTGAATTTTCGCATACTTTTATACGTCGTTCCGTATACCTCGGCTCGTTTGCAATATTCAACGACGGCATCGTGTATACCCTTGTATTTTATATTTATTCCCGCTCATCGAAAAACGTTGCGATGGCGTCAATTTTTCTTTCCCTTGAAAATTGCACCTTTGTTAAATCGAAGCCAAACATAACGAGCACGGATAGGAAATATTTTGTTGCTCGATGGTGCACTCGAATTACAATTTCAAATTACTCGTACAACTTTCGAGCATCCAATCGGAAATTCATGCATCGTAAATCATTTCTTTCTTAGAAAAAGAAATTATCATTTCGTATGGAAAATTCGAAAATTTAATTTTCCTTTTCCAGCAATGATAATATCCAGCCAGCAGCATGACGTGCAAACAATCGAGAAACCCCAGTTCGAGGTACGAATGGTGCTAACTATTCGCAATTTGCAAAAAAACAACGTGGGTACTTATAAATGCGTGGCGAAAAATTCTCTCGGCGATGTGGAGAGCAGCATACGATTGTACGGTGAGCGTTCATTTTATTTTACTCGACAATTTAACAAAAATTTCTTCGAAATTAATTGTGCCAGCAATTTTGATGTTAAATCAGGACGTCCATTTAAATTCGCGATTATTTTATTATCGATTGGCGACTGATGAACGAGTCTTTGAAAAATCTCTAGAGATCGTTGTTCGGTGAGAAAATGATCGCCTTCTGATAGAAATAAGAAGCCTCCCTGTAAACACGCTCGTGTTTACAAGCATCCTCACTTTGCCGTGGAAACCTCCAAGGATTTTCCTCGATATCAGAGAGAGAGAGTCTGCTTTCTTTCGGTCAATCCTCATTTTTTCTTGCATACGATCACGGGAATCCTTCGATCGGATCAAAGCACTCCGGAGGAAGCATAGACTCGGGATGCACTCTCATCCGAAGGGTCTCGCACGTTCATGTCCTCTTCGTAAATCGTTCCTACGGCAACCTGACGTCTTGGGAATCAATGTTGTTCCCCGACACCGGGATTTACTTATTTCCTGTACGCTGTGTTCGTATATTCTCCTTTATCGCGAGAGCTTCGATGATGATAAGAAAGAGGGCATGGATTGACTTTTCGATGCTTGATCTTACGTGGCAAAGTATTCGAGACTTTTTTCGTCTTCAAATTTTATCGATAATAATTGAAACATCAAGAGATTTAAATTCTGTATAATATCTCTTGTTTCTTTTTCCTTTTTCATTTCAGAGATTTCGGGTCCAGCAAAGACGCAAACAGCAGTTAGACCGTCTTTCTACGACGAAGAGGATGAAACCGTGTACGGTTCGGCGGAAATGGAGAAAATGGAGAACAAACCTTTGTCGGTGGACAACACTATCAATGGGCACATTGGTTATCCATCAGTTGCCACACCGGTACCGACCGTGAGAATCGGTAAGAAAAGACCAACGATCGGTGCCAGTTCCAGAGCTGATGATCGTCATTCTGCTTTCAATCTACTCGTCATCGTTTTGTTGCTGATCATAGCTCGCCAGAGATACCAGTGAACGAATGGACCCAGAAAGGTTTGGAAAATTTCTTATATCGAGATTGTAAACGATCGAAGAGAGAATTGATACGTGGTGCGCTTTGTTTCTCGAAGTATCGTCTTCCCTGAGTGGCTTATTCTTACAATGATGTAGTTAATAATGACAGCGAGGAAAAGATATCGATGATATCGAGGGTAATGAAAGGGTACGTATGCAAGGGTGCAATTTTTAACTTTCCTCAAGTTAAATATTAAATTATTTAACTTGCTACAGGAACGTAAATAAAATAAATTTGTTGCAAAATTTCATTTGAAACTAGGAATTTTTTCGCCCTTCAATCTTTGCTGGATTTAAATTGAATTTTAAATTTGTTCAGATTCTATATCTTTTCGAATACAATTTCTGTGGATTGAAAATCACCGACCATCTGCTTACAGATATCCCCCAAAATTGCTCCACTTTCGTGAAACACGCATCTCATAGAAACAAGAAGGTTCGAAAAATGGACTGATATTTCTTATTATGGGGTGATGTATCGCTTTGATTTTACGTGACTGTTGCTTGACGAGCGGTCCTCAAACCTCGTATTTCTACGTGACCAGAATAATAATTTATAATAAATTTGAATCAATTCTTCACTTCTTTAAAATTCCATCAAACATTTATTTAACATGTTTCAATCATCCGAATATCCATCATTGATCGCGCAGACATTTTCACTTGATGAATTAAAATTCTTTGACGATGCCGCAGAATCGACCCGTATTGTTGAAAACGTAAAATAAACGTAAACACGTGCAATGTTTATTTATTATGAGTAGCCGTAGTCATAAATCATGGTGGTCGTTATTCCGAGTAAAATGAAAAATACGATTCGCGAGACGTCGAAACTTTGTTTCGCACTGGCGGGAAAGAGATCGATGAAATATTAACAGGTGCATTCCCGACGTGTGCAAACATTCTGTTTGTATCGATACAGCATTACCGATCAACGATATTCCGTTTCATATGTTAGCTAACAAAAAAAAAAATGAAATTCCTTTTTAAGCTTCGAAATATCCGACGTGATACGATTATGTCACGAAAGTTTCGATGAAATGTTTGGGACGTGTTGTCTATTCATTTGTCTGGATGAAATTAGGCGAAGGATTTATCGCGCTTTTATTCATTTATGAAAATGATTAATATTTGAATGGAATTACTAAAAGTGATTTAAAAAATTGCCACACTTTGCTTCTTTACATTATACATTAACCATCGGACGGCGGACCATGGAGAGAGCCACAAATACCCTTTAGCTCCACTATATTTCTAAGCAAATAAAAAAATAAAATAATTATCCTAAATTTAAAAATAATGATTATCAATGTATTAATTTTGTTATAAAGTTTGTGTACAACACGACATTGGAAGAATTTCAATTTAGAATTCAAAAATGTCGTAGAATATAATTTTTAATAATTTAGAAGAAACCACCCTGCATACGTACCCTTCAATTTCATCCCCCATCTTTCTATATCCAACGAAATCTTACAATGCGAATCGTGAAAATAAATTTGATTTTGGAAGACACTGGATCCCCCAAAAATCATTAGGATCCAAAATATCAAATAGAAGGCGTATGAACGAGAAGGGATAGGTATCGACAGCGGAAGAAAACGAAGAAAATATAAGAGATACGATCCTGGCAATTTAGCTAAACTAAAAACGAACCTATATAGAATATTTGCAAGCCAGGTACGTAATTCTTCTCAGTTTAAGCGGCAATAAATTCACGTGATGTACATGTACATATGTTTGTACACGTATCAATGTATCATACACACGCAGGCTTGCACGTGTACATGTGTGTGCATACTGACACGTCAGGGTAACTAAGATATCTGTATAATTAGAACCTCGTAAAGGTGTATCGCGTTTTTAATGACTGTCGGCAGCTTTTTTATGTGTCGAGCAACGGACACCACGGCGAAGCTGGGTGTTTTAGCGGATTCCTTCGATCGGACCAAGCGATTTTAACGTCAACTACCACACGCACACGATTCACCCTTAATTACCAATCCATGTGATCCGAGCTTATTTCTCAATTCATTTAACAGAGAAATAAATAGATGCAAAATTTTCTTTTATTTTTTCAAGAATTGTTTATCATTCAATAGATATTTACTTCAGTAGAAGTTTACAGAAAAGTATACGTTTGCCTTTACGTAAATTGGCCCCACGTAAACTTCAAAGTTCACTTCTTCTATGTACTCATAATTACTGCTACCATTTCTCTTTTCAAAGACACAGTGCAGCACTTCTACCTTCAAACACGTTAAATACATTAACGATAAATCAATTGAACGGTCGTTATTGTTTCCGATTCAATAAAAAAATTGAACGAGAACCATTTCAATGTAAAATTTCAATAAAAACTTCCTGATTGTTCTGCAACAAAAAATTTAATATACATAAACCTATTATTTTTTATAATTCTACAATAGGTCATTTGCTGTGCCACAGTATTCAACGTGTTAATTAATTAGCAATTTTAATTTTTCAAATGCAGAGTTAATTAATTTAATATGAGCTGGATCGAGATTTCTGAAGCTCTCGATTATTAAACCTTTAAGATCCTCCATTAAAAATTAAAACTTATTTTAAAAAAAATTAAATAACATTAGCCTTCCTTAATCCGGCGCTGATTGAAAGGGTTAAAATATAAAATTTCACATTCTATTACACTGTTCGCACCAATTTTCACACATTTTCCATGGTTCCTGGATCTCAAATTTATAGCGAACAATCGATTATCCAGGATCGAGGTAAACGAACAGCTTCGTTTTCCAGGAATAGAAAGGGTCATCGTGAGCGTGTACGGTAGACGAGCGAGTCCTGTTTTTTCTAGACGATTTTAGTTGAATAGAAAAACGAACGGTACGGAGAATGAGCGTGAAAGAGAGATGTACCGACGATATTTTTGTATTTCCAACTGTTGATAGCGTACTTGTGTTCCCTCTCGTTGATCGTTTATTTATCGACGCGGAAAGTTTCGGTTTAATCCGTTCGTGTCAACAAGGAAAGGAGGGATTCAGCGAAAGAGGCGGATGAGGGAAATGGGGGAACTTGTATAGAGTTAGTCGTGAATCGTGGCGATTGGAGGATTAAACCGCGACAAGTTTAACGTTCGATTACGACATCGACAGACACTTTACGCCGACGTCCAGACGACGACGAGGACGACGACGGTGCTGTGTATTTAATGCTAAATAAATGAATGCTCTTCAGCTTCTCGGGCCGCCTTCGAGACGTGAAAGACGACGAAACGCGACTGGTGCTATCAATGGAACCTTTCTTGATCGAGGGCTCGCGTACATGCTCTCAAACTCTCGACTGTTTCTATCGGATGAACGATTTACTTTTTCCAACTGGTTTTCTTCCCTTTGAGTATTGTTAAAGTGTACCGGGATTCAAGGGGATTCCACGGGGTTTACGGGAATCGAATCGTTCGTGACTGACGACGAAGTGGAATTAGAAAGGAAAACAGTTTCTCCATTGTGCAGTGATTTCTGTTTAGTCTTTTGATCCTTGAGTAATTAAATCAATTCATTGAATAGTTCAAAGTAGACAGGGCAGAGTGAAACAAAGGGTTAGAGATTAATTTTCATAATTGTTGCTGTGAAAATTCATTGAAATACAGTGAAATTAAAATACATAAATTACTTTCAAAAATATTCACATGGGTGTAATTAGAATTTTTGAGGGTGGGTCAGATCCCCCAGAAATTTGAGAATTTTTGAATGTTAAAATTTTAGAATTGTCAGGGTACCAGACCACGTTTTTAGGGAGGCGAAATCCATTCTAATGATCCTACACTTTAATCCACCAAGTCCCACAGTGTTCTGTCAGGATATTATTAATGGAATTGTCAAAAGCCTGAGGCTATAGGCTAAACAAGAGGAAGAGGCAAAATCGATCATCGGTAGTAGCTTGTTCGGTCGAATGCCGGTTTTAAGGACTAGACGAAGAAGATCTTAGTTCCTTCATAAATAAACACAACTGCCCGAACATCTGGCGCGGACGTAATTCATCGCGAATTAATTTAAGGGCCAAGCCCCTCCTGTTCCTTCAGCGTCTTCTATCCGGCACTGTTCCTCCTTCTTACACAACGCTGGCTGGTACTTTCATTAAAGGTCTGCCGGCGCCATTTGGTAGCTCGCTTTATGCTGATTTTATTTCCTTTCTTTCGAGAACTTGAGATCCACGGTAATTGTGCGGTATTATTACCCCCACCTACGTTCGCATAATGGCCGTGTGAAATATGGCCCATCGAAGCTGCACTCTCGAGGTAGCTCACCTCGTTCAAGAGGATTTCACGGTTCGCTGAAAATCATCGTCGTCAACGGCTCGTGGACTTCATCGGGTTGGATCACTTTCACGGGATCACGTTCCGGTTACTGGGTCGTGACGGGAACTTGCTCGAACAATCGTGTATGTTTCGCTTTTGTTCGTACCAACCACTGTGACTAACAGAAGTTTACCTTTGGATGAGGATCCGTTGATTGTGCAATTCGGCCAGTGATTTATGATTCAGAATTCGATTTTCATTTTGTTGGATTTTTCATTGTCTTGCGGGCGTTTCGTCGACATTGCAATCTCTCAATAGTTAAAATTAAAATGATGGTCACATGTGCTCGAATGTTTATTTATTTTGTATATAATTATAATTCTGGAGTAAATAAATATTAACTTTTATTGTAAATTTAATTAGCTTCCATGGAAATGTTAAATACATGCTTTAATTTTTATTGTAAATTATTAAATCCAACAACTGTTTATTTCGATTTTCATTAAAATATAATATGTATCTTTTTTATTCGTTTAATGTGATGCACCAATATTTTATGTTAATCACTGATGAGCAAAGTGGAATTTAATTTTCATTTAACAGATTGAACGGAATGTTAAAATGGAAAAGAGGATTTACTGAAAAAAAAATTATATTCTGAATGAATCGAAGATTTCGTTCTTTAGGCTTACCAGTATTAAGAACTTAAAGTGAAACAGGAATTTCAGTACACAAAAATTGCGAAATAATCTATCGTATTTCTTATTAAAAGTGTACTAGAAAAAAGTTTCGCTTCTTATGAAAGTTGGTAATGTTTTGAAGCTCAACGTTTACCTTAGCATAGTATGAATAAAAAACAGGAAACACCTTTATGTGACTATGAATATCACTATAAAAAGAAATTTTGCATAATTTATTTATTATTTGTTGTGCAATTAATATCTATATTTTAATCTCGAATTTTGATTAAATTTCTTTCATACTATAAATATTTGATAATCGTTGCAATGATTAAACGTGAAAGAAAATTAGACATCGAATCATACGTTACACTTGTTAAACATTTTAATCAAGAATGCATTGAAGAGCAAACGATTGCTCCTCAAGATTCCTCAGCAGGGTCAATTATTTATTTAAGCAAGTTCCCTAACAATTTACTAATAGACGGACTTTCAAAGCACTTGCTGGAATACTGTCCTGCTCAATATCTACCTCTCTGACGTTTCCCAAGTAATTTCCTGCACTTGGTCTGATTTTGGAGCAAAATAGTTTTCGAAACTTTAACACGATATTAATCAAGGTAAATTCTTCCTTCAACAATTTTTCTTCTTCATCTCCTTAGAGAATTTCATTGTTCTGTCAGTCACGAACGATACGAATTAGTTAAGAATGTTTAGCCACTTTCGAAGATTCGTCTACGCGTTTGTATCTGTGTTATAGCGAAAACGTAAGTTTCAAATGTGTATACTATGATTACTATAATCAGCAAACGTATGTTGTTGTTACTAGTCAATGGTCCATTTTCAATTTCTTGAAAATGTGTGATTGTTAAAAGAGTATTTTGATTATGTACTTCAATTTTTACTTCATAATTATCCATTCAAATTAATACTTTAATTTTGTTTCAATAATTTGTAACATTACTAATGTAACAATAGTATGTTCTTAATGTTGTTTTTCATATATAGAAATATTTTTGTCTCTAAAAAATAATATACTGGAAATATAAAAAATAATCATACGATATATGAATGTGATATTTAATTTTTTATGTATATTCCTAGTGTATATAAAAATGGATTATTCCATTTACTAGTAACTATGCATTATCAACTTTGCTCATGGTTTGACTGTAACATTTATCTACCTGAACATATCTCTTCCTGGATAGCTAGTGACGTAAAAGATATTTTTATTTTTCTCTAGTTAGACGCTTGTAAAGAATAATTAAATAGAATACATCTTGTACCATATCAAAATTCATAGTAACGTTGCTCGTTGGTTTCAATGTCTGACCATTCACGCTCTGTCTCTACTTTGAAATTCTCCTGTATAAAAGAAGACAAAAAAAAAGAAACAAAAAAGAAAAAGGACAATATCAGCGTACGAATTTTACGTAATCGAAAAAAAAAACGATTCGCAGGAAATTTTATATAAATAAATAGTGTATTTACGTTATGAATGCGATGAATGATTTATATTGTATAAGGCTATACACTCAATGTATCGTTTATATAAATTATCACATAATAGGATACGTGTTACATGCAAAAATGAAAAATGTAACGAATTAAATGTTCAGAAATTCAATATTTAATACTCTGTTATTATAAATAATTTGCAGTTTATTAAATTATTATTTTTCTTTTTTTTACCAATTTGAGTACCAGTAAAATTATTTACAATAATTTAACATTTAATAAAATTTATATTTCACTCTCATAGGGATAATATGGCACTTAAAATTTTAATTACCATTACTTCTGCTTTAATTACTATTATTATAATAAGCAAAGCACCGACTGATATTAAATTATATAGAAAAATTCAGAATTTTAAAGGATTATAGAGAAAGTAACGTTTAACTAAAACTAGTTCCTCAAGATTACTGAAAAATATTTTAGTTTTTGGAGAAAATAGGACTATTATGCCAAATCTTGTATAATTTCTGGTACATTTGGAATATTAGTTTCAAGATGCATGGATTTCCAAGTTTGCCTGTAACATGTACGCATATATAAGCTAGATTTCCCTGAATTCTTCAGAAACTCAGTGTCTGATCCTTGACAGACCTACTTCACTGAGGATTATGGGATCTGTCAGAAAAGTAATGAAACTAAATGTCAAATAAATTTCTCTCACAGATATTTTCATAAAATGAAATATTCTTTGATATTGTATTAACAATTTTTATTTCTTAGCTTGCCATGTGTTTTAATTCATTTAATTTCATAGAGAATTGTTTCAATTCTCGAGAAATATTTTACAAATGAAAAGATACACTCATTCTTGCACCTAGCGTTGACAATTTTCAAATCTCACAATCAGTTTCGTTTATTTTCTGACAGACCAACGTGCTAATAATTGTACATCACGATCAAATCTTTAAAGCTCACGCTTCCAAACGCTTTTCCGATTGTAACAGCAGACAATACGAATGAAAGAACTGACTTCACATCGAGTTAAAAAGAAACGAGTGAAAGAGAGAGATACAAGTTGTACAGTATGTAGGTTCCCTATGGACCGTGTTGTACATTATCACAGTCAATTCTGATTGTTTTCGAAACGTTTAGTTCGTCGTACGGATATCTAGACGAGCTATAGCGATTCACTCTCATCTAGACGTGGAAATTGTACAGTTAGTTTCATTAGACTGGTTACCTGTTGAAAATTTCTTCTGATTTTCCCGTGGGAACACAGCGAAAAGAAAATTATTTTGTGACCAAGATTAGCACGACGAGGCCTCGAACGAACGTTTCATGCGGTTAGAATTGTACAGTAGCTTAGATAAAAGAAACATGGTCGAAAATGGTCTAATTAATGAGGAGATAGTTAAAATCTTAATAGATGATTCTATGAATTTTCAGGAATTATAGATTTCTTGAGACATTGCTATTAGTGCCTGAATTTTGATATTTTATAATTGTATTTAAAAATTATGGTTAATTGAAATTTAGTTTTCAATTTGTCAACACATTTCATGGTTCTACTAAATAATTATGCAGTTTTAATTCTTTAAAATTCTTAGAACCATCCATTAAGATTGAATAAACCATAAATAGTCATTTTCTACTATCGTTCCTTATCTGGTTAACTAACATATGGAATATTCATTTCATTATTTTTATTTTTCTGTTAGAAAAGAGAGGAGAAAATCTGGCTAATTACTAATGAACATATCTATAAAAATTGAAATTATTGTACATCTTCTGAATGTTTGTTCGAAGTGGAAGAATTTTTCACTAACATTCTCTTATTTATCTCTGACATTTGTATAATTATGTATACGTGAATCGCGCAGAGGAACTCGTTAATTTCATCGAACTTTACACCGCAGAGTTAATTATTAAGTTACATTGGATTCTGATAATCGTCGCGATCCACGTAACTGGCAAATACGAAATTAAATTTCGTTTCGCAATGTGGTGACTAGTAAATTCGTTGAAACAGTTGAAACCGTTTCACAATTCAGCGAAACGAAATTAACGCGTGTTTCGTTAAAACTTCATTTTGCATGTGTTTGTATCAATCAGAATCACCGTTCCACGTTTTCCAAATAATATATCAAACTTTTGATCGTTATAATTACCTGAAAATTGCTATAAATAAATTCAGAAATTATTCGTCAAAATTCACGTTTAATTGGATGAACGATTTATTTTTCTCACAACAAAGATGATTTTCAGAATTCAATTAAAAGAAATCATTTATTTTTATTCCGCGATGAATTTAACGACGAATAAATTCAACGAACGAGGAATCTTTCCTAAGAACGGCACGATTGCCTCTTCAGTTGTCGATAAAAGAAATAAATACGGTGTTTTATTGTGTAAATGAAACGCAAGCGTAAACATATGGTTTCCTATTAGTCTGACAGTGCAATATATGTATATTATATTAGGTGTACGATAATTTTATATAACTGCACGTATTGTAAGTTTGGCATGAGGGAGGTTAACGTGAATCATTAACGAGCGCAGAACTGTATAAAGAATGATGCAACGGGATCTTTGTAAATATCTGTGAACATATTGTAGTCAATATCAGGAGGAAATAAAGATAGAGCTTCGTGTGGCATGTGAAGCTGTACGATAAACACTTCTTGATTGTATTCTTTTCTCTTCATTTGATTCTCTTCCTTTAATTCAATCGCTTTACGTAATCGTCATTCGTGAAAGACTAGTCTGATATTAAAATTAATAATAAATTTGGCAATATTAATTATTTTTCCATGGTTCGAGGCATTCTAAATTGCCCCATCTTTAGTATTTTCATTTTACTATTTTACTATCACTATTTTGCTTTGTAGTTCGAACAATTTCTACAGAAAAACAAAATGATTTATTATCAATCTACGATGTAGCAGAGAAGAAGAAAGGTACGTATCACTTTGATATTTTCTTAAGAAAAATATTACACTTTTAACGTCTACGGCGATCAGAAAAGATATCTCGTTCCCTGCAATCCGATGATGGATTTCTCTTCCGTTTGATTTTAATAAAGAAACATTTTTGTACATGTTTCCCTGGCTTTGCATTCTATTGGATATGCGTGTGCCGATAGATCGATACAGGCCAGCAATTTGATATCGGGTACACATGTCAAGTACGTGCTTGTAAAGCAAAGCAAGAAAAGCAGCCGGATCCTGTTGGAGGTGAAGAAAATTCTACGGATGTTCGTTGAAAGCGAACGAAAACTTTTGCGATA